CATCAGACCCGGGTCCGTCTTGCCCAGTCTCTGGTGTGTCACAGCAGCTGGAAGGAGAGTGACTGGGTCTGAGCAGGGCTTTCCCCCCTGCTCCCCTCACCCTTGCAGCCTTTAACATCCAGGCAGCTCCGATGCAGAGGCCGTGCCCCGCGCTCCCTGCTCAATAGCAACCGATGCCCCTTTCCTCCAAGCATGTGTCCGATCTCTTGATGCAGCGGGCTGAAATTGCACCCAGATTCACAATGAGATTGGACAAATCCTGGGAGGCGCTCTCCTCCACCGACAGCATTCAGGCCTCCACGCTTTGCAAGCCCCGTCCCGCAGGCTGCCAGCCCCCTTGGGCCAGGCTTGTGTGCCTGGGTGAGTTGGGCGCCCGGCTGCAGACTACAGGCCCCTGGCGCCGAGTTCAGGCAGCGAGCAGTGGAGGGGCAGGGAGCGGAGCAGCTGCTGTGTCTGCTCCATTTCCCCGGCCGCGATACCGAGCTGCTAATGATGCTGAAAGCACTGCGGTGGGTTGCTGAGCTGCCACACACTTAGAGACCCCAGTGAGATTCCCCGTGATGCCTGGCCCCGCTGGCGAACTGTCTGGCACCGCCGAGACCCACGTGGCCGGCGCCGAGACACACAAGATTCAGCGCACGGGGGTGGGCAAGGCTAGCCTCGCAGACCCGTCTGCCATGGGTGGCAACGTGGACACGAAAGGCCAAGACGAGCTCATTCGGACGCTGCAGCCGATGTCTCACAAGGCTGGGAATCCAAAGCTCCAGCGCTCCAGCACCGCTGGGCCCAGCCACAGCCCCCCCGGGAGCCACGGGGACCGAGTCGCTCCCCGCGGCTGAAGTCTCTGGGTAGCCCCGTGCGTGCCCAAGGCTGCGCTGCAGCTGCGGTGGGAACCAGCCTGGAAACCGATGCTCTGCCCCTTCTGTCCTCACCCCGTGCTCTGGGCACTGCTGGCATCACCCCCAGTCTCCCGGGAGCTACGGGCAGCTCCTCAAGGGTTGGGGAGGGAAGGGGGTGCCTCAGCAAGGGTCCTGATCTGCCCTTTGGGCAGCCAAGGGAAGCCGTAGTGCAGACAGGACTCCAGCGTGGCAGAAGCCACCAAGTCCTCTAACCCCCACCTGCAC